CCACCACCCCCCCGGCGCGGGCCGGGCGGTTCTCCAAATGATATCTGGTCGGGGCCAGCTGCAGGCGGGCGGCGTGCTCGGCCACAACGGCCACCCCGAGCAGCGCCATGCAGCCCCCTTGTGCAGGGCATCCTCTGTGCAGCACCCCCGTGCAGCCCCCCTGTGAAGCCCCCCCGTGCAGGGCATCCTCTGTGCAGCACCCCCGTGCAGGGCATCCTCTGTGCAGCACCCCCGTGCAGCAACCCCGTGCAGGGCATCTTCTGTGCAGCACCGCCGTGCAGCACCCCCGTCGTGACGGCTGGCGACCGTTGGGGACCCCGCGGACGGCCGTCGCAGCCCGGCCTGCAGCGGAAAAGGCACAGCTGCGTAGTGGTAATTAGGGAGGTGACTCCCTCACGCCCGCTGGCAAACATGAAACACACACACAAAAACACACACACACGCTCGCGCGGCCAGACGATACAGTAATTGTCCAGTTGCTGTGCTGCAAGAGTGACGCCGAGTGTCCCCGGCTCGTCGGCGTGCTCTGGGCCTGCCCAACGACGCCGTCCCCACCCTCTCTCTCTGCACGTTTACTCAGCAGGCCTTTGTCGGAAGCGCCACTCGAGCTTTAACTCCAGACGCGCACGACGATTCAAACGTGTTTACTTGTGCATCCTTGTGAATGCGAGAGGAGAGGGGGAGGAGGGAAGGGGGCGCAGGCACTCGCTTCTATTCAAACCCCTTCCTTCCCCGAGCGCTGCTGTCGCCCCCATCCTCCTCGGCCCCCTCCCTCCCTCAGGCGCTGTATTTATTTTGCTTGCCATTTCGCCAGCAGAGAGCCTCGCCCCGGTCTCCATCCGTCTGCTGGATTGCAAGATAGAGGAGGAGGTTGGGCTATCGTCACGATTTTTAGACAAGACCAAACATCTCTTTCCTCTGCGGCCCCCACCCACACCCCAGCTATGTCACACCCGCACGGCACTATTTGCCCCGGCGGTGGAAATCACTCGTGTTGTATTTGCATTCGCACGTCCCTACAAACGAGCTGAGGGGTGCTGCAGCCCGCCAGCATGCCGCGTACTTCACACTAAAACTCCGACTCCATTTCAGTTCCAGAAGAAGTCATGAATGAGTCGCTCGTGCTCGTGCAGTATCAACGCCCCCGCTCCAGCTTCCCGGAACGGGTGGGTCAGGTGAAGTCATGGCCTCTCGGCACTCTCTATTCGTGAGGCTTTGTGAGTCACCTAGGAGTCATCATGGCCGTCGTGGAGCCTTCGACGGCCACCTCACGCGCAGCAGCAGCAGCCTCCGCCGGCCGGTCGGCCTCCGCGGCGAGCCAGAGCCAGAGGTCTGCAGCTGTCGGACCCGCGCCGGGCACCAGTACCGCCGAGAGCAGCACGGCACGTGCGCGTGGGAAACTCGAGCCGGCCGCAGCTCTCTCACTCGCACATACCGGGGGGCTGATTTACCCCGCTTACTCCTGGAATCATGCTCTACCGCAAACGCGAGTGCGGGCGGGTTGCCTACTCCCACGGCCTGTGATAGGCACGCCCGCCAGCGCTCGGGCGAGCGGTACAGTTTGTGCGCTCCCCGGACCGACCGGTGCAGACCACGGCAGCGCCGAGGCACGTGTGGCAGCTGACGGGTGGACAGTTATGTCGGCGGGTCGCACACAGATGACATAGGACTGGAATAGACGCGGCACTCGGCGTGTGGCCTGACCTCGAGCCCTCCCGTCCCCGCCCGGCCCAGCCCGGCGTACGTACCGCGCCGTACCGTACGGCACGGGAGTAAAACGTACAGCAGGCCCGCCGCCCCCCATTGAAGGGAAAGGGGGTGGCTCAGGCCGCTGTCCACTCGGAGCGTGAATACGTCCAATTGCAAGCGGCGGAGTGGGGCGGGGCGCGGGGCCGCGCATGCATTATAGAGAGCGGGAGGGAACTCCACGCCACGGGGCCCAGCGCCTGAGAGAGAGAGAGAGAGAGAGAGAGAGAGAGAGAGAGAGAGGGGGGGGGGGGAGAGAAATGGAGCGGAAGAAAGGAGGAGAGAGAGTCAGAGGGCGTCGCGTAACATTCTTCATATTGGGATAAAGCTATTATTTTGTTATTTCCTTGACTTGAACCCTGACGTCGTGCCCACCTGCTCGCGACCCAGTCCGCCGCCCTACAGGCAGGAGAGCGTGTTCGTT